CAAGGGCTCAACCTCCCTCTTTGTCCTACGTCTGTGTGCACTCGCCGGAGATCGTGCAGGCAGAGAGGAAGAATGAGGAAAGCAGCCTTTCTAGATAATGCGCTTCACTCTCCTGTGTTGTGCCAAAGCCTGTGAAAATGCAAACCAAATTACACAGATATGTAGCAGGACTCATCTTCGGAACGGGTTCCGTTTTTTTCCATGCTGAAAGGAAAAGAAAATAGATGCAATGTGTCGGCACAATGTTTTTAGGACTTATCAGAGCTTTTTTATGATGACGTCACCTCCTGAGAACCTACATAACATTGGACATTCGTTTGGCATAACGGAATTCACTGATGTCTGGGAAGTGGCGCTCTGTGGATCACAAGGTGGGGACATTTCAGATTTCCTTAGTCAAATCCCAGCAGGTGCAGAGCTGCGCACACACACATAGCGAAGCAATTCTGCACCTAGGTCTGTACTCATCTATGTCTGCGAGGGGAAAGAAACATCCCCATTTAAACCATTCATTAGAGCAGGGATACACAAATAGCGACTTTCTTTGTTTTGTCAAAAGCAGAGTGTGGCGCCCCAGTCGCACAGGAGAGTGGTAGGGTTTTGTACGACTGGCGGCTTTGATAAGTGCCCAGCCGGCCTTCCTGGCACAGGGACAGATGCTCGTTAAGGCCGCAGACGTGCACCTCTAATTAAAAAAGGGAGGGGGGCAAAGGGGGGCTTGCTCCAAATATCAATCTTGCGGCTCAATGTAATTAAGAGGGCAATTAAAGAGGATAGATGGAGAGCAGGACAGCAGGGCTTGGTGTTCTCCTGCGCAGGACTGGACTACTTGAAATCAGTGGTCTGCAGCCCTCTGAAACAGTGTCCTCCCAGCTGCTGCACGCAGCTCTGCTGTACTGTTCATGGTTTTCATCATGATGTTAGGAAGGAAATAATGAGAGTACTCTAGGTCTGTTTATCCACTGTTACCTTTAAACAGGAGAATGAAATATCTTCAGCCTGGTATGGGTTCATGCTAAAGAGCCTGTAACTATTTAACCTGGAATGGCCTATGCAGTTGAAGTTGCACTGGCATCCCATTAAGAGATGAGAAAAGGCCATTCATAATATACTGTCTGGAACTAAGTTTGTTTCACCCTACAACCCTTGGTTGGAATAGTTCCCTTGTTATAGCTTCGTCTGATCTGGGATCTGGGATCAATCTTTCTGAGGATTTCAACAGATTTTGTCGAATATCTCCAGATCTTTCTTCCTACCACAAGACACTTATCTCTTTTTGATCTGACTGCCCTTTCCCTGTCCTACCCAGTCAATAAAAGGCTCTACTAATGTCAACACCACAGTAATGTCTTATTCACGGCCTTGTGCGATATTCCCACAGCCCGTTGTGTAAAGAACTGCATCCTGTTCTCAGTTTTAATGATGTTGAAAAGTTAACTGTTGTGTTAGAAACCGTAACTCACAAAACAGGCAAGGCCCATCCATCTCAATCTGGTGATCTGGCCTTGTATGTCAAGCAGGTCCTGAAGCAAACAGTCAAGGAGAAGGTTGGTACTTGAACCATGGCTACAGTGCGTTGGGAAAATTAAATCTCTCCTTTGTTTTGCCGGATGTTCCTACAGGAGCTGGTGGTGGGGTGATTTAGGCTACATAGTTCTTCTGCTGTCTTTTCTCAGCGGAGAGCTAGAATTCTTTTATTTTTCCAGTTTTCTGCTTTGAAGCAGGTGTGCTGTCTAGCATTACTGTCCCTGCTGGGTTAGAGGCTTTTGTAAAAGGACAATCAGAACAGCCAGATGTGCCAGGCATCCTCTCCTGTACAATGTTCACTGAGCTTAGGCACACAGGTAGCCTGAGGGTTCCCTGCATTCACCCTGAGACACTACCCAGTCCTTAACTCTTGTGCATCAGCAGCAGCGAAAGCCCTGCATAGGCTTGATGTCACTCGAATTCGTCTGACACTTGTTGCATTCTCTTCAATTTAATGATGAAACTGCAACTCGTGGAAATGTATGGAAATGTATGGAAAGGCAAGCAGATAGGTGAAAAATCCCGAAATAGTACAAGGAGCCTGTGCTGTATACCAGACACTGCGGCAGAGCAGATCAGTGATTTTGACGGAGAGTGTTTTTTTTTTTTAATTGTGAGACCTCAGGCAGGCAGTCCATCGGCACAGCTTCCAAGACGAGATGTAAAAATCCTTGTTGATTGCAGCCCGCCTTTCCTCTTTCTTCACCACGAGCTGCCTAATTGCAGTGAAGAGAGGAAGGAAAAGGTGATATGCAAATGTCCCCGGGCGAAACGAGGTGGCCTGGCTCCTGCAGCTCGCTGGCGCACTCTCTCTCTCCCTCTTGACAAAGCCCTGTAACAGGCAGTAATTAAGTGTGGGTGAGGATCAGAGGGCCTGTGTGCTCTGTGATTGCAGGCAATCAGGGGTGTTTTAATCCTGGTAATAATGATCTGCAGCTCAGCCCAGGAGTGGGGACACATCCAGGAGCCAGGCTGCCTCTCACTGGCTCAGTGTCCTGGGGTCGGGGACAGCAGCGCTCTGGGACAGTGACAGAGCTGGGGCTCTCTTGCACAGCCCAGGTCTCCAGTCCAGTAAGCTTCATTCAGGCTGTGAAAGTATTTCAGTGATCTATTTAACAACGCAGGTTGAATGAAAGCCTTAAGGCCCATAAACCCTTAGGAATCAGATTTAGGGAACAGCGGACATGTACGGTCCTCCTCACCGAGCACTGCCCATGTGTGTGGATCAACAGCTGTGCCCGCTGCATTCCTGCACTCCTGCCTTCCTGCTCAGACACTCAAGCAAATTGTGTGTTATATAGAAACACCTCTTTCATGCTGGGATATTTGTCAAGCTGCTGTACAGTGTGTTGTGTTACCATAGTGGTCTGTAGGTAGGTAAAGTACTGTTGAGCGATTACAAGACAAACAAGAATCACACTCGGTAATCAGATCTTAAACAGAAAGTATATTTCGGATAGATCACCTATAAAGGACGCAGGAAAGTAAGTGGTGTGTTTTAGATTCAAGGAAGACGGTATCTCTTTATAGGGAAAATGAATGAGCCATATTATTGTTCCTAAAAAAACAGAATGCAGTCCTGATCAAAGAGAGGCGGCGATGGAGGATGGGAGAGGGGAGGTGTGGCGCAGCGGGGCACAGACAGCCGTGGTGTCTCAGTTTGAGCTCTAGAAGTGATCTTCACCTCTTCACCAGGGAGGGGTCTGGGTGATGAGGAGAATGGGGGTGCAGGGGTCTGTTGGCCCTGCTGTGCAGCAGGGAGATGTGTGGGGAGCTAGCAGTGCTCTCTCAGCATGTGGTGCTGTGTGATTCATATTCACGTCTGCTCCTAGAAATAGTCTTCTCCTTTTGTGACACTTGAGTTCTTAACAAATTAAGACTATTAAGAATTACCACTGTTTCCATACACAGCATTTTAGCAATGATGGTTTTTGTTTATGAAAAACCTGCTGAGGTAAGCTCCTCTAATTTAGGGTGGCTTTGTCTATTCATTATTGCTGAACTTAAAAATACAGTAACTGACCTCTCTTATAGTGCTGTCGAAGTCTCAGGCTGCTATGTAGATGAGGGAGGATTGCTTTCTACTCCCTGTCCCCCTGTCTGAAGAGTGTCTCGTATGGGAGGAAGGACAAAGAGTTCCTGTGTCTGTGTCCTCCTGTCTGAAGAGTGTCTTGTATAGGAGAGGAGGGGACGTTGTGTTCATGTGTCCCAGTCCTCCTGTCTGATGAGTGTCTTGTATGGGAGGGGAAGACACTGAGTTCCTGTGTCTGTGTCCGCCTGTCTGATGAGTGTCTTGGATGGGAGAGGAGGACACTGTGATCATGTGTCTGTGCCCTCCTGTCTGATGAGTGTCTTGTATGGGAGAGGA